CCCGCGCCCGCGATCAGGAGCGAGAGCGTGTGGAGCACGGGCGGCGTGCCGTGGTGCGCCTCCGCCGCCGCCGCCGCCGCCGCGGGGCTTGGCGTTGGCGGGTCTGTCGCCATTCGTGGGAAGTCGTCGTCGGGGAGGTTCTGTCGGGCTGGGGGACCTGGGACTTGGGCTTGCGCGATGGCTGCTGCGGTTGATGCGACTCGACCCATGGAGTTGCAGGGCGGAAAGTTTGCCAATGGGTGATAAGATAAACCTTTTAAAAGCGGGGCTGCCACTCCCGTCTACCAAACTGTTACCTAGAAATCGAATTACCTGCCTCACAGCTTTTTTGCCTTTTGTCTATCTAGGTACCTCTAGCCACGCGCCTATAGCCACACCCCCGAATGTAACGATCGATAGCAGGGAGTTGGGCTCAACTTTCATGACATGCCTCTGATACCGTCAGTCTCAATCGCGAGTCGGTTGTGGCGCCCAGTCACCGCGAAAACGATCTGCACTGCAGGAACCATGTTTCGTGGGGCGGGACGATCTCGTCTCAAGCAACCCGTTTTTGCACATCGTCTGCACCGAGGCCTGTCCGCTGAAATCATTGCCGTGTTCGTCTTAAGATCTACGCAGGTGTCCTATTTACGCGTCCAAAATTGGCGTGGATGAATGGGTCTTTGATGGATCGTATTTGACGAATACTTCCAGGTTGTCCTCTGGCAGAGTCTATGGGGCCGCCAGTAGAAACGGCAACCATCGATCATGGCACCCTCAAGGCCGAGGCACCTACGTCATCCGGGAAGCTCATGAACCCCCGCCGGTAGCTTAGAACCCAGTCTCGGGGTACAATGGTTGGTAGGCCACCCCTCATTATCTGTCAAAAGTGTGAAGAACTTCCCTTGCGCCGGACGAAACAAAGTTCCCTACTCGGGGAACGTCCCGGCCATCCTCCCACCACGGCATTCAGGCAGTCGATCAGGGCCGACGCATATGAAACCGTGGTGCATCCATTGCTCGACGCACTCGCAGACGACCCGCTGCAGCCGCTCCCGCTCCATGTCGTGATCTCGCAGCCACCACTGTGGTTCCATGGTATCAAGGCCCGCGTGTTAGCCACAGTATCACCCTTGACTTGTTCATCGAGTCCTTTCCCTCATGGACGATACTTACCCCTCGCTAACGCGAAGAGACTGGACGGCAAAAGGCACCGGCTAGCACCCGACGGTACGGCCGAGGACCCCGAACGGATACGACCTGCCGCCGCAGTTTCCGTCGGCGTAGAACACCACGTGGACCCCATTTTGCTGTCGAGGCTCGAGCCCCTGGGGGACCGCCGGCGAGACTGGGGAGGCGGCAATGGGGTTTGCCATGGCCGTGCCCCGGAGCACGGCGAGAAGAGAGACGGGGACGGTGGGGGTGTGGAATTGTATCGTTATTCGGCTGCATGTCGTTTTGGAGGGAAAGATGGTATTCTGAGCCGGCGGGAGCCAGATCGAAGCGATGTGTCAGGGGTTAATCGGTGCAGAGGCGGGTGGTCACCGGGTCACGGGCCGGATGCGGTGTCTCCTTTGTCAGGCCTCCGTAAATCTCTTACCAAAGGTGCTATCGCCAACAAAAA